GAAACCCAGAACTTGATTTAATGATCTTCAGTTTGAGCTGATCTCATTGAGGTGCACCTTGTCAAAAGTTAATATCCCATGAATACAAAACTGTAAAGTGATCAATGTACAACATTAAATCAGAACCATGCCCAACTTGTTGCTTTTTAGTGAGACCTGAAAATGAAGTCATTGTTTTTTTTATTCAGCCACAACCTTAAAATGTATAAACGATCTCTGATACCCAACATGGAACAGGTCTAAAGGAACCTTTCTGAAGGGACAGTTTGAAAAGCCTTCTACTCAAGGAGCAGGAGGCATTTGGAAACTGTTTCAGAAAAAGGCAGTATACCACACTAGGTAGCCTGGGAAGAGAAAAGATGGTGTAGCCCTTCCTCATGCCCATGCATCAGTCCACCACTGCAGTTGTCGGGAAGCAGTGAGAACTCTGTCTGCTTGACGTGGTGGCTTGAGTGTTATCGTTTGAGTGTTATCTCATGTGGGCTTGTTGAGGAGCCTGGGTCAGTCAGTGATGGACTAGTGGATTAGAACCTTAAACTCTGTATGGAGGGACCCTTAGGAATTCCCCTATTTTGACTTTCTTAATCCTAAAAGAGGAGGGTCACAGAAGGGATGACAGTCTCATGGTCCATGGAGCCCTACTAAGGATCATCAAAGCTTCCAGTTTCTAATTTCACTTCCTACTCTCAGTTAAATTGAGTTAGACTCGATTCTCAAGTCATAGTCACTTGAAGGGCCGACTTAATGTAAACATCCCTCCACCCCGTTTGGCTTCTGATCTGGTAACTCTGAGGTTGGCCTCAAGAATCTGCTTGGTCTGGGTCTGGGTCTACACTTGGGAGCCATTCACTAAGAACACCCACAAAGAAACAAAGCAGACATAACTATAGATCATCTCTCCCCAACAAGCTAAGGAGCCCAGTGCTCCCTGGGGAGAGAAGAGCCTGGAAAGAGGTCCTCAGCCAGCACAGCTCTCTTCCTTCTCGAAGAACAGGGAAGAAGGCAGAACGAATGGGGAAGGAAGGCAGAAAGGCTCCTCCGGTTGATGCTCAGAAGCATTAATTGTGATCCTTTGCTTTGCCTAAGATGTGATGAAATAATTGAAGGCATCATAGCAAGAAGTTAAACCCTAGGGAGGCTATTAACAATTTAGCATTTCCAGTTCATGTGGGAATGTCGATTCTCCTTGCTAAGGAGAACATTAAAGGGTGGTTTTAGTGGAAGAAGCGGCAGGAATCAGTTGAGTTCATAATCAGCCCCGCTTGACCCTCTTCGTGGAGAGGACATTCAAGCCCCCACCCCCTCGTCACTGTCACCATGACAATGTGCTGTTTTCTAAAATAAATTACTGGCTAGGGGCACCACTGTTTCTCCTTAGCTGGCTTATCTGCAGAGGGAGAGGGTGTGACAGTGGACTGAGGCCCACAGATTCTTGCTGCAGAGTGGGTCCTGTGTTCCAGTTCAGGACACCAGGTCAGCACCCTCAGGTCTTCTGAAAGCCTGGCCACTGCTAGGCTGGCCCGCTCCAGTACAGGCTGGTAAGTCTGCCCAGTGAGTTGGTAGAATGAGAACTTCCTTTTCTTTTTAAAACCAGGAGTGTGTGTGTGTGTGTGTGTGTGTGTGTGTGTGTGTGTGTGTGTGTGTGTGTGTGATTTTTTTGGTGTGGGGATGGTGCACACGTGTCATGGCACATATATGGAGATCTGAGGACAACTTACGGGAGTCAGTTCTGGGATTGAACTCAGGTTGTCAGGCTTAGTAGTAGCAAGTGCCTTTGTTCCCTGAGCCACCTCCCTGGCCCAAGAGAACCTCCTTTATTGGTACTTACTAGCCAGTGAAGACCACAGCAGAGCCAGCAGAGAGCAGGAAACATACTCCAGGCAAGAACACAGATCTTTACTAACTGGAAACTAACTCAGATCTTTACTTCATTACTAATCATCCACATAGCCACCACCCCTTACTCTCAGGGCCCCGGTATCCCCATCTTTAAAATGGTGACCACTGAGGCTTCATACAACTCAAAAAACCGAAACTCCAAACAAACTACAAAGCTGGCTCGTCAGATACTTTGTTTGCCACGTGGTCACTGCTACCCTGGGCTTACTTGTTTCCTGCTAACAGGTTAGCAGACGTCTAACAATGCACGAGAATGGTTCAGCTGGAATTTGACTGACAGCTCTCCCATTCCTTGTTGGGGTACAGTAGGGCCTCTTCCTGAAGTGGCAGGGAATTTGAAGTTAGACTCTTCCTGTGCAGGGGTTCAAGGACCTTGTTGCTTTTGTGCTGGGGGTCACTGAAATACCTCAGTTGTGTGGTTTTCTGAGAAAAGAATTTCACGCTCTGCCACAGAAAAGCTTGCTGAGGCAGGAACAGGTGCAAGACTGGATTCTCAAATTTCTTCTTGAAAACTTCAAGAACTAAGCCGACCCTTGATTTTTTTTTACCCACATTCCCAGTTTAGCACCACCAACAAAAGGTACACAGATTTGTGTCCTGAGCCCTGTCTACCACAGTTGCGGGATTTTTTTTTTTTTTTTTTTTTTTTTTTTTTTTTTTTGGTGTGGTTTTATCTTGGCTTTGATCTGAGAGTAGAGTAGATGGTGTCATCACAGATGGTCTAAGGCAGTGGTTCTCAGCCTTGCTAATGTGAGACCCTTTAACACAGTTCCTCATATGTGGTGATCCCCAACCATAGAATCATTTCTGCTGCTACTTCATAACTTAATTTTGCTACTGTTATGAATTGTAATGTGCATATCTGATGTGTAGGATATCTGATATGTGACCCCCATGAAACGGTCATTTGACCCACAAAAGGACTTGACCCAAGGTTGAGAACTGCAGCTCTAAGGCTTGGTAGTCTTTCATGACAGCCCAGTAATGCAGACTTCTCCTGCCTGACATTGTTACCCATCAGGTTCCTCACACAAGGGCACTTGGTCCTAACTGTCCTGACCTGCACTTGGCTAAAGTGATCACAAAGAATTTCTTAAATTTTTTCCACTTGTGACTCCTTCTCACCTGAGTTTTTCTATGGCCTTCAGTATGTACAAATATAAAATACACAGATCAAACATTTACTTAAAATAAATTATAAGGAAATGTATTTTTAAGCAATTACTTGGTATGTGTATAATCTTAACATTTATTAAAGACTAAGGCAAATATGCATGCTAATCAGATGGATGAGTGTATTTATTTCTACATAAATAAATCTTGGCTTAATACTTGGTACTGCAGGATGGAGAGCATCTTCAAATGCTTTTCAAAGTTCACTGATATTTTGATTTTATAACCACTAATTTTGAGGACCCACTTCTCATAAATACGTAGTTCAAAGTGGCAGAATGTCTAACACTAGTTCAGAAATTGTTGGAAATTCTGTCCTAATTCCAAGCCAAAATTAGTTTGATTTCTCGCCTCCCCCTCTCTGAAATTCAGAAGTTAGCAATTCAAACAATGTTTAAAATAAAACATTCTATCACAACACAATGCAAAGATAGACTAGCTTGATATTTGCATGTTTAAGAATGGCAGTAGGGAAGTATTAGGTCTTTGCTCTAATCAAACCATTATGTTTCCATAAGAGCAGTCAACGCTGTGTGTAGTAAAAAGCACTATAGCTCATAACATACAATGATCTAGATAGAGTTTGGGCCCAGCTGTTTCAGGCAGCCAGTTTTCCTAGTGTTCAGCTTGGCCTCATGTACAGTGTCATGTGCACATGTTAATGTTTTGGAACCAAGGCTACAATGACATGTAACATGTGGGCAAACCTGGCCAAAAATTCACTTGATTTTTGAATTAATTTTTGGTCACGGCATGTTCAGAAATCTTTAAGTTGCCAGTTTTTTGGCATTTAGTTGTGTGACCTCAGTGGGGTTGTGGCTCCCAGTGTATGGAAACTGTGTCCTGGAGTACACCAGCAATGCTTTTAAGTGCTGTTACTGTTAAGCATGCCCTGTTTACTCACCATCAAACTCAGTTTTTCTGAACTCCAACGCTGGCACACTAACTCGTCTGTCTCCCACTCCATCTCAAGGTCATCATTTTTAAGGGTAGTTAACTGGGCTGAATTTGGAAAAGCCGGACTTTGAGGACAGAATCCACCGTGTCCCTGGGTTGCACCAACCATGCTTCCTTTCCTACAAACAACCTGGTGCTAAAGGGGGCTTATATGGCTCCTTGATTTCCCTGCACCAGTGAGAAATCACCACGTCACAGGGTGCATGTCAGTGGGTGTGCAGTGGGATGGGGGAACTGGGGCCTTACTTTCCAGGTGCTGCTGTTGGGTACCTTTTGTTTTTGTTGTGTTTGTTTACCTTGTCACTTAGCAGCATTATCCTTCACCCTGAAGGGATGTGGGGGACTTGGCCAAAGTTACTTACATGCTAGAAGTCTAGTCTTCATTCCCTATTGCTTTGTACTGTGAGAAGGCGTGCCTTCCTGGGGTACCCACTGACAGGATTCTGGAGTGTGGCCCACTGAGTCCTGAAATTCCTGACTTGGAGGAAGCTAAGCAGTGCTATTCCCTGAAAGAAAGAGTGGTTCACAAACCCACTCGCTTCCTATTAGCCTGCTGTTTGCATGGGTTTGTCTATAGTCAGTGTATTCATGTAAACCAGCCTTGCCGATAAATCCCATTTCTCTGGCCCACCCATGTTACTGCCAATTTCTCCTTTCTATTTCTGTATCTCTTGTAATAATCAAATAACAACAACAAATAAGCAAAGGGACCTGAGAACTAAAGGCACCTAAGTCCAAGCAGCCCCTGCTTCAGACCTCAAACCAGCCCCTTCCTTGTTGTCCAAAAAAGACCAAAATTAAAAACAAAACAAAAACTGTGGGGGACAGCTCTCTGCCCTGGGTCTGGTAACTATCTGCAAGGCTGTTGTAATGATGTTAATCTATTTTAATGGAAGTGAAATGTGATATCCTGTGGTTTACGATGCACATTGTTTATGGCTGTGGTGCTTGATTCTGGGTTTCTTTCACAGATAAACTTCTGCACTGGAGGGGCCTGTCCTCCCCACGATCTGCACATGGAGCTCTAATCCCCACGCCTGGGATGAGTGCAGAATATGCCCCGCAGGGTATTTGTAAGTTGAACATTATCTCTTCTACAAATGTACATGTGTTTAGAGATGAGTTGCCCTTACTTTTTAAGTACTGGAGGGAGTTTCTTCTGACATAGACAGGTACCCCCATCTGTATTATTTCATGACTCACTTGGCACCACCTCTCCTACCATTCATAGTCCCAAGAGTGACTTTCCCTCCCCTTTGCTTTGCTTTGCTTAGCTTATCCCTGGGGGCTTCTCACCCCGGGTCTTTCCTGACTCCATAGCTGGTAGCTGGTACCTCCCTGGGTTCACAACCCATCTTATTGCTGGACATTCACTTCTATAGCATTGTAGATGCTTTGAATTGATTGTTTGGCATATATCATTAGCAGGGGCCAGATCCACAGGCAGTTTACAGTTATTCCAGAGATATTGTAATGCATGTTACTTATGCATTCACATGTGTATCTGAACATGGTATATTTATAGATAGATATACATGGTTGTTATATATGTACATATATATGCACATATACATATATATATATATGTATATATATGTATGCATATGGATACACAACACATGTAATTTCTGTTTTTCTCCTTATTTTAGAGTAAAATGCCCAGAAATGTAGGTAAGATGTAGAGAGACCACTGCAGCCTTCACACACCCATGCCTCTGCCACCGCTAACTTCTACAGTGAGGATCTCTTTATGAAAGTCAGATTTATTCATTTATAAAAATGTTTTCCGAAACATGTTTTAGAAAGCAATCCAGTTTTCTTCTCTGTGTAGAAGTATGTGGTATGAATCACACATGACCAAAATATTTGAAGAAAGAGTTGATTCCACCCCAAACAAACAAACAAACAAACAAACAAAAAAGCAGGTTCAAGAAAAAGGGAAGTATAGCCTCTAATGTTTATTTTCAAGTAAACAACAGCCAAAAAAGTCAGTTGGCTGTGGGAAGAAAAAAGAGCAAGAGAGAGTATGAGCAAGTGTGTGTAAGATGCAAAAGCCGGGTTGTCAATGAGACTACCTTTCCTGGGAGGCTCACTACCCACTTTGTCTATGGTGCCTGCAGGGCAGGACATGCGCCCTGAGAGCAGATGCAAAGACACCTGTTTAATGTTTATTCACTCCTGGGTAATCCCAGGTAACAGAGAACTATTGTCCTGAGGGCCGGGTGGTACAGGGAGGGGTAGGATGGGGTGAGGTTGGGGGGAGGGTTAAAAGCAGCTCTCTTCTCCCCCACCCCAGCTGGTCCTGAGCCTGGGTTAACTAACATACTGCAGAATTTAGGGGGTGGCTTCACAGACTGGAGTCCCTGCATGCCAGCTAGGTGGAGAACACGCTTTCTTTTGCCTGGGGTGCCTGGGGCCTGCACTAGGCTGTGGGAACAAAGCCACCCTGGGAAGGAACACTTGAGTGGGGCAGTGGAGGGTGGAGTTGAGAGGTCAAAGGCTGCTGGCCAAGGACAGTTTTGGCTTAGTGTTCTTGGGGCCTGGGAGCTTGAGGTGATGGTTGGGAAAGTTTGATACAGGAGTCCTTCCTACTCTTTCCCCATTACTCAGAATGCACACTTAGCAATACAGAAGTAATCAGAAGACCATATGTACCAATGGGTTGTGGGCTCCAGAAAGCTCTAGGACAAAGCTAGCACCCATCCTCTTCAGCTGCATAGACTAACCACCCTTGGCTTTCAGAGCTGCGTGGCCTGTGAAATTGTTAAAGGTGGCCCCAAATTACCCTACTTGCCTCTGTTGCCAAAGCATGGGTTGAATCTGCCATGAACCTTCCTTTCCAAGCCATGGCGGGAGTATAATGTGGTTAGTTACACACACACACACACACACACACACACACAGAGTTAATCACAACTGCCGGTAATGAAAACCTGCATACCGGACCTGATCGCTTACGCCCTGCTATGTATCCTTCTGCTACTTTAGACTCAACCATTCTTTAAAGGTCCTATTTTCAACACTTACTTTACATGTAGGAACCCAAAGGCCCAGGGAGATTTCATGTTGGGCGCCAAGTCATGAGCTAGGAAATGACTTTCAAGGGTCCTATCACAGACTTCCTTGCACTTTCAAATTGTGAGGCCGCAGTCACATGACTTCACATTAGTGATGCATTTAAAAATGGAAACCATTCTCATAAAACGAAATAAAACAAAAGTCAGTAAGGAGGTGGCCTAACAGCTGAGTTTAACCCTTTCAGTGTCTTGGGTTCTTTTACCGATGAAGGGCAAGGTTCAGTTTATTGCTTTAAATCAAAACAATCCTAGTAAATGCCCAATGAGGCTCTCAGAGTGAGAAGTTGATTTTCATCAGAGTAAATGAAGAATATTATTATATTTTACACATCAATAAATCAATGTAGCCCTAATTTTGCCATGCAGGAAATCAATTCTGGTCTTTCTAAACCATCAAAGATGTTATGAACAAAGTAATTTCACAAATTACGGCGAGTAACACATTTATTGATGACTGCAGTTTAGGAATTTAGAATCTGTGAGCACTGTAATATAATGTGGTGCGCCAGCATGAGCCAAGTGAAATACAGATTATATGGTGAAATTGTAATGCATCGTTTGCTATTAGTGGACTGGTAATAATTACCAGTTTCAGAGCGGCTCTTTCCATGTAATCTTTCGTCTCAATCGTAACAGCCCTTCCCATTGACATGATTACACTAGCTGCCCCTCATGATCTAGAATATCTAGTTGACGGGAATATGAAAGGCAACAGCGAAAAGTGTATGCTGTGTGCTTGTTATAAGATCAAAGCCGTTTTCTCTGACCTGATGTATGGGGCGAAGGACAGCACAATAGTGCCAATGTGTTGTAGTATCATCACATAGCTGGCTCTGAAAAACAATTATTTTAGGAAGCAAAATAAAATTTTGCTTAAGCCTCTTGGGAAAGTCATGGATGAGACTCTTGGTGTGGCTTGGTATGCACAGAATTTGGCATTTATAGGGGCCCCATCACAGCACATTTGAAACCATCATTGCTAATTATGGGTCCATCCCCAGGCATTAAGAGATTATTGGGGTCAGATATGAGTTTAAGGCGTTGGGAGTGATGGAAGTGTTAAGGATTTGCCTCAGCTGACAAAGCTCCTTAGTTACCCAGTTCCTGATTGTCAGGCTAAATATATGATAATGACCCAGAGTCCTAGGGAGGCAAAGAGAAAGCCATGGAGGGTCACAGTGGTTGCAACCAGATTTTCCCCCCCTGCCTATTTAGGACCCAAGTCATTGTTCAACAACAACAACAAAAAATATGAAAATACTCTCAATGAAGCTTTCTATTTCCCTTTGAAGAGAAGAGGCAGACAAAAATAGGCAGATAATGTGATTCTAATGTCAGCATTTTCTTTCAAAATCTCTCTGCCTTTCTTCCTCCTTCACATTAGACAAATGTTTGAAACCTAATTTTGGTATCTTACCATCTAATCTTGTTAAAGAGATTTCCCCAGGAGTGGGCTATATTGAGTGAGATTATAAATGCATTGTAAAGTGAATTGCAAGGGCAGGGCAGGAGTCCATTATTTAGACAAGTGCTGGAGCGAGGCTGGCTTGTTTTGGAATATGAGTGTTTGGGACTCCTCAGAAGACCTTGGCAGCTTTTCCTTCCAACTTGCTAAACGGAGGAATCATATAATTGATGAATTCCTCATGCCCACTCCTTAGCTCCCTGGTGAATTTTGTCCCATGGAAGAAGTTTGCTTCCAAATGCTAGCCTTGGGTTTAAGGGCCTTTTCTCACTTAGGGAGAAAGTGTATTTCTCAGTTATATTTTAAGCACAGTCCTTTTTATTTTTATTTTTTTAAATCCCTTGGCCATTAGCTACTCTCAGCCTTGTCCCTAGACCACTGTTTCTTCTGCCATTTTTTTAAGTCTGCAATTGTCTGGTTAACTTCCGGGTTAGTACCTCCATATAGTCTATACATGTGTACACATATATAAACATATATGGGAATGTATACTTAAGTTTAGCTATCAGGAAAAAAAATGAATGATTTTTGTGAAATCAAGCTGGCCCCCTCTTTGCCAAAGTGGCATTTACCACTCTCGGGTTCTTTTCAGTAAGAGAGAAATAATGTGACTTAAGCAGGGCCCCTCTCCAGACAGCTTGGCTACTGGCCAAAGAGTTGACTAGCTGAACTGTATCTTTCTGTTTCTTTCTCAACTGGAGCCGAGTCTCAGCCGAGGGCGCAGGATGTTGTATAATTTGGTTCAAGTTGTTAGCCTCTCAAAATAATGAGGAGGAGGCTAGGGTAGCATTGCTCAGCCTGCTGCCTGTCACAGTGCTGGCTGCCTTCAGTGCTCCTATAACCAGGGTGCTGAGTCTGCTGAAGTTGGCACCAGCCGCTCCTAACTTCTCTGCTCTCTCTTTTGTTGCACTGGGACAGGCTCCTAAGGATTCAATACAGCTTTCCAGTTAAACCAGAATTAAAGTTTCCTTTTGAGATTTCAATCACAGCATCCCCTTGAGATTCAACATGGGTATCCTTAGAGGACGGTATGGAACTTACACATAGGCTGGAACAAGAGTGATGTCACTCTCTTCTTCCAGGGCCCTTTTTGGAGTCTGTTGTCACTTTAACAATACCAACAGTCCCCATGTTTCCTGCCAAGGGGTTTAGGACCAGAGAATTTGTATTGATTGTATTCCTTTTTGATATCTTTATGCAGTGCTATCTTTAGTGAGAAAGTTAGGTTCACCTACAGCCCACAGGCAAATGGACCAGGACCACTGGATTTAGGGAGCAAAAGTTTTCCTGGGTGAAGTCTATCTTGTCCCAGTACCCCATCTAACCAGTGAGACAGCGGCACAGAGATGAAATGACTTGTGCATACCACAGCAAATGTGGCAGGGAAGTTAAGAAGACCTTTGCTGAGGCCCCTAGGATGTAGTGCTCCTTTATCAGAGCCTGAAATGGGCAGGACTTTATGCTATGGGGCTTGAATATGGAATTCTCAGAACGGAGTTAAATGTTGAACAGACCAGTTTGACAAATGTTTGTTGGGCACCAGACATGGAAGATCTCATGTAGGGTGGGATGGGTGAAGGCTGAGCTCAACTTAGGGGTGGGGCCAGGAGAGGCGGGATGTTGGAACATGAGTAAGCAGTTGCTGCTGACTGCCTCGGTGATTAAACATTGATGTTGGTGTTGTATTATTTTGCAGGTAAAGATGAGCCCAGCAGCTACACATGTACAACTTGCAAACAGCCATTCACCAGTGCATGGTTTCTCTTGCAACACGCACAGAACACTCATGGATTAAGGATCTACTTAGAAAGCGAACATGGAAGTCCCCTGACCCCGCGGGTTGGTATCCCTTCGGGACTAGGTGCAGAATGTCCTTCCCAGCCACCTCTCCATGGGATTCATATTGCAGACAATAACCCCTTTAACCTGCTAAGAATACCAGGATCAGTATCGAGAGAGGCTTCCGGCCTGGCAGAAGGGCGCTTTCCACCCACTCCCCCCCTGTTTAGCCCACCACCGAGACATCACTTGGACCCCCACCGCATAGAGCGCCTGGGGGCGGAAGAGATGGCCCTGGCCCCCCATCACCCGAGTGCCTTTGACAGGGTGCTGCGGTTGAATCCAATGGCTATGGAGCCTCCCGCCATGGATTTCTCTAGGAGACTTAGAGAGCTGGCAGGGAACACGTCTAGCCCACCGCTGTCCCCAGGCCGGCCCAGCCCTATGCAAAGGTTACTGCAACCATTCCAGCCAGGTAGCAAGCCACCCTTCCTGGCGACGCCCCCCCTCCCTCCTCTGCAATCCGCCCCTCCTCCCTCCCAGCCCCCGGTCAAGTCCAAGTCATGCGAGTTCTGCGGCAAGACGTTCAAATTTCAGAGCAACCTGGTGGTGCATCGGCGCAGCCACACTGGTGAGAAGCCCTACAAGTGCAACCTGTGCGATCACGCTTGCACACAGGCCAGCAAGCTCAAGCGCCACATGAAGACACACATGCACAAATCGTCCCCCATGACGGTCAAGTCTGACGACGGCCTTTCCACTGCCAGCTCCCCGGAACCTGGCACCAGCGACCTGGTGGGCAGCGCCAGCAGTGCGCTCAAGTCAGTGGTGGCCAAGTTCAAGAGTGAGAACGACCCCAACCTGATCCCAGAGAATGGGGATGAGGAGGAAGAGGAGGACGATGAGGAAGAAGAGGAAGAGGAGGAAGAGGAGGAGGAGGAGCTGACGGAGAGCGAGAGGGTGGACTACGGCTTCGGGCTGAGCCTGGAGGCTGCGCGCCACCATGAGAACAGCTCTCGGGGTGCAGTGGTGGGCGTGGGCGACGAGGGTCGCGCCCTGCCCGACGTCATGCAGGGCATGGTGCTCAGCTCCATGCAGCACTTCAGCGAGGCCTTCCACCAGGTCCTGGGCGAGAAGCATAAGCGTGGCCACCTGGCCGAGGCCGAGGGCCACAGGGACACTTGCGATGAAGACTCGGTGGCCGGCGAGTCGGACCGCATAGACGATGGCACTGTTAATGGCCGCGGCTGCTCCCCTGGCGAATCGGCTTCGGGGGGTCTGTCCAAAAAGCTGCTGCTGGGTAGCCCCAGCTCGCTGAGCCCCTTCTCCAAGCGCATCAAGCTGGAGAAGGAGTTTGACCTGCCCCCAGCCGCGATGCCCAACACTGAGAATGTGTACTCGCAGTGGCTCGCAGGCTATGCGGCCTCCAGGCAGCTCAAAGATCCCTTCCTTAGCTTCGGAGACTCCAGACAATCGCCTTTTGCCTCCTCATCAGAGCACTCCTCGGAGAACGGGAGCTTGCGCTTCTCCACACCGCCCGGGGAGCTGGACGGAGGGATCTCTGGGCGCAGCGGCACGGGAAGTGGAGGGAGCACGCCCCATATTAGTGGTCCGGGCCCGGGCAGGCCCAGCTCAAAAGAGGGCAGACGCAGCGACACTTGTGAGTACTGTGGGAAAGTCTTCAAGAACTGTAGCAATCTCACTGTCCACAGGAGAAGCCACACGGGCGAAAGGCCTTATAAATGCGAGCTGTGCAACTATGCCTGTGCCCAGAGTAGCAAGCTCACCAGGCACATGAAAACGCATGGCCAGGTGGGGAAGGACGTTTACAAATGTGAAATTTGTAAGATGCCTTTTAGCGTGTACAGTACCCTGGAGAAACACATGAAAAAATGGCACAGTGATCGAGTGTTGAATAATGATATAAAAACTGAATAGAGGTATATTAATACCCCTCCCTCGCTCCCACCCGATGTCCCCCCTTTTTACCTTTTCCCCATTGTCCTCCAGCCCTACTCCCTGTAGGATTTTTTTCTAGTCCCATGTGATTAAACAAACAAACAGACAAACAAACAGAAGTAATGGAAGCTAAGAATATGAATGAGAGTGCTTGTCACCAGCACACCTGTTTTTGTTTTTTTGGGTTTTTTTCCTTTTTTTCTGTTTCTTTCTTCCTTTTTTTTTTTTTTTGTTTTAAATTTCTTTATGTTCTCACCGTTTGAATGCATGATCTGTTTGGGGCAATACTCTTGCAATTTTACGCAAACTTTGAGCCTTTCTCTTGTGCAATAATTTACATGTTGTGTATTTTTTTTAAACTTAGACAGCATGTATGGTATGTTATGGCTATTTTAAATTGTCCCTAATTCATTATGAGCAAACATGTTGCTGTTTCCAGTTCCGTTCTGAAAGAGTGAGAGAGAGGGGAAAAAACAAAGCATGCTGCACACTCCTGTAATACATATCATGTACAGCTTTATTTGATGACACGAGGAGGGAAAACAGTGTTTGGGTTCACAGACCCTCTACAGACAGAACAGATAGCACTGAAAAAAAGAAAAGTGTGTGCTAAATGCCTGTCTCTAAAGGGTTACATGTATTAATTGGAGAGGGAAAAAAAAGGCCTTGAATTGACAAATTAACAGAAAAACAAGTTTTATTCTATCATTTGGTTTTAAAATATGAGTGCCTTGGATCTATTAAAACCACGTTGATGGTTCTTTCTGCTTGTTATAAACTTGTAGCTTAATTCAGCATTGGGTGAGGCAATAAACTTTAGGACCTAGCTTGTAGTTCTATGTTGTATTTCTAACAACAATGGCTACCTAAAATATGACCCATTATGTCCTAGTTAATCATCATTTTGTCCTTTGACTTTAACTTTGTGAACAAAACTGATTATACCAGTATAAAAGCTACTTTGCTCCTGGTGAGAGCTTAAAAGAAACGGGCTGTTTTGCCTAATGCTTTATTTTATTCTTTCTAAATGATGATTACATTGAATGTGAAATGTGCAAAGGCCCTGGAACACGGTGGAACGCATTAGTGAGGAGTTGTTTAAAGTAATACATTTAGTGACATTCTGGCACCAAAAGAAATAGATACAGATCTACATGGTTGTCAAGTGGACAATCGAATGATAAACTTAAGATCTTTTAGATTATATTTAAGAGAAGAGCTTGATACAGTTTGACAGAGGGAGACAAAAAAAGTGATTTATTAGCACAATGTGGTACTATTTGCCATTTTAAACTAGAACAGGTATGTAAGCTAATAGTGATGCAATGGTGATTAACTATGAATTGTTAAGACTTAACATTTAATGTGACATTCTTCAAAAAGGAAGAGAAAGAATTTTAAGAGCAGCAGCGTATATGTCTGTGCTCCCTAAAAGTTGTACTCCATTTCTTTTCCATACACTGTGTGCTATTTGTGCTAACATGGAAGAGGATTCATTGTTTCTATTTTATTTTATTATTTTTTCTTTCTGTTTCCTTCTTTTTTTCTTTCCTTTTTTAAAAATTAAGCTAGCATCTGCCCCAGTTGGTGTTCAAATGGTACTTGACTCTGCCTGTGATGCCTGTATCTTCTCTCTAATCAGAGATACAGAGGTTGAGTATAAAATAAACCTACTCAGATAGGACAATTAAGTGCACTGTACAGTTTTCCCAGTTTACAGGTCTTTATTAAGGGAAAAGTTGCAAGAATGCTGAAAAAAAAAATTGAACACAATCTCATTGACGAGCATTAAAAAAAAAAAACTTAAAAAAAAAAAACTAAAAAAACAAAAACCTTTGCCAGCCATTTACTTGACTAATGAGCTTACTTACTTGGACGCAACATTGCAAGCGCTGTGAATGGAAAAAAGAACACACTTAACATAGAGATGAACGATGCTTTCGCTTCTACAGTGCAAGGATTTTTTTTGTACAAAACTTTTTTAAGTATAAATGTTAAGAAAAAAATTTTTAAAAAGACACTTCATTATGTTTAGGGGGGAACAGCATTTTAGGGTTCCATTGTCTTGGTGGTGTTACAAGACCTGTTATCCATTTAAAAATGGTAGTGGAAATTCTATGCCTTGGATCACACACCGCTCTTCAGGTTGTAAAAAACATACATGGGGAAAGGTTTAAGATTATATAGTACTTAAATATAGGAAAATGCACACTCATGTTGATTCCTATGCTAAAACACATTTATGGTCTTTTTTCTGTATTTCTAGAATGGTATTTGAATTAAATGTTCATCTAGTGTTAGGCACTTATAGTATTTATATTGAAGCTTGTATTTTTAACTGTTGCTTGTTCTCTTAAAAGGTATCGATGTACCTTTTTTGGTAGTAGAAAAAAAAAAGACAGGCTGCCACAGTATATTTTTTTAATTTGGCAGGATAATATAGTGCAAATTATTTGTATGCTAAAAAAGAGAGAGAGAGAGAGAGAGAGAGAGAGAGAGAGAGAGAGAGAGAGAGAGAAAGTGTGACATTGTACAGAGAAGCCATATAATGGCGGTTTGGGGAGCCTGCTAGAATGTCACATGAATGGCTGTCATAGGGGTTGTACATATCCTTTTTTGTCCCTTTTTCCTGCTGCCATGCTGTATGCAGTACTGCAAGCTAATAGCGTTGGTTTGTTATGTAGTGTGCTTTTGTCCCTCTCCCGCCATCACCCTACATTCCAGCATCTTACCTTCATATGCAGTAAAAGAAAGAAAGAAAAAAAGGAAAAAAAAAACAACAATGTTTTGCAGTTTTTTTCATTGCCAAAAACTAAATGGTGCTTTATATTTAGATTGGAAAGAATTTCATATGCAAAGCATATTAAAGAGAAAGCCCGCTTTAGTCAATACTTTTTTGTAAATGGCAATGCAGAATATTTTGTTATTGGCCTTTTCTATTCCTGTAATGAAAGCTGTTTGTCGTAACTTGAAATTTTATCTTTTACTATGGGAGTCACTATTTATTATTGCTTATATGCCCTGTTCAAAACAGAGGCTCTTAATTTGATCTTTTATTTTTCTCTGTTTTTATTTTTTTTTTTTATTTGGATGACCAAAGGTCATTACAACCTGGCTTTTTATTGTATTTGTTTCTGGTCTTTGTTAAGTTCTATTGGAAAAACCACTGTCTGTGTTTTTTTGGCAGTTGTCTGCATTAACCTGTTCATACACCCATTTTGTCCCTTTATTGAAAAAAATAAAAAAATTAAAGTACAATGTAAGCTTCTTGTGTCCTCATTTGACACACTCTGTAAATAACTTACAACAAAGTAGCAGGTTTTGAGAGAAGGCCAGCCTGTCTTTTTCAGGATTATTTCTGTGGGCATTTTGATGTGTGTATTATACCCTAAAGGAGCATAATGTACTTACTTTATTAATAGGCATACTTCAAGCCATGGAAATAGGGTTAGGCATTACAGTTTTAGGTAATTGGAAAGTGATTTCTGTGTACTGTTCAAAACCTCTGCTCTATCCTTAGCAGAATGCACTAGGTTCAATGAGCCCCTGAGCAGCCCCTCAGTTACTTTCTTTGGATTTTCTGCTGTGATCGTATGTCTTAAAGTCCTGTTCTCTCGTTATTTCCCTATCTTAGAGTATGATGCCAAAAAGGGATCCTTAACCAAATAGCTCCCTACTTCCACACAATGACCTCTCCTCATAATAAAATGACCCTTCCCCTCAACCCTAAAAATCCAGAAACAAAGACACCAAATATAATAAATCTATTAAATATTAATATGATGAGGGGAGAGAAAAGATAGGAAGAAAAAAGCAGAAACCAGCATCCAAAGATGGCTAAACCAAGCCAGGTCTCTGGAAGCCACTATTGGGCTCCTAAGATGCTTCATGGTTTGCTTGTGATTCTGAAATCCTATGGTTTGTACTTGCCACAGGTTGTTTTATATATGTATATATAATATATATAGCGTATATATTATATGTATATATTAGGTTCTACCTGGCTGGTGGCAATAAGTGTAGATAACCCTACAATTAATTATCTTTTACTATTTTTCGATGGCTTGAAAGGCAGGTTAGGTCTGTTTTAAAAATCCTTTTAGAAATCTGTGTTGTCGGTTTTCCAACTACTGCATGTTGCAGCATCAATTTGCTTTATTATATAGCACGTGCCTCTGTGGTACTGTCTCCCTGTTCCAAGTGTAGATGAATGGATCCAACAGTGTTCTTATTTTTGTAAAAACCCACACAAAAGCTGTTCTGTTGTCTTCTCGTGGTAGCATTTTTTTTTTTGTTGCATAGTTCTTCCCTCCTGGTGACTGTGAAGTTGCCTTTCCGTGTAATGCCTTTTATATGAGGCCAGAAGAGTTTTATCTTTTTAAGTAGAGAGAAAGTAAGGTATTTGGTTTTTATTCTTTTTTAAAGTCCATTTGAGTGGGCAAGGGGACTGAACTGAGGACTATAGCACAGGTGCTTCGATGGGACGGAGAAGTTGATGTTTGTCAGTAAACTGAGGGAAGGTATCTGTGTTTTCTGGGTACCAAATGATTCCAGAACAAATAGAAATATTTCCCTGTGCCTTGTCAGCTGTAGGTGGTGGTGACTTTTGCTTCACCATATTAAATATCCACACAGTTTCTGGGTGTCCCTATTGTGCTTTCCAGGGGAACTCAGAGTGCAGCTGTGCAGATTTTATATACAGTACTTATTTTAATTCCTCCGTATACGATGCTCTTAGTGTAATTAGATTTTGCATCTTGACAGACAAAATTAATGGTGGATACAGGATTCTTATAGGTTGAGATATCTTAAATCAAACCGGGAACGGGAGGGGTGCAAATATCTGGTGATAAATCACAGATTGTTTGATTTACATGGTCCAAATTAAATAAATTTGTTGGGAGACAGCTTCTTCAGGTTACTTCCTCTTGTGACGTATTACAACCCTCTAATAAAATATTATTTCTGAAGCTCTGTGA